GTTTTGACTCGATTTGAATAATATAAATTATTAGTTGAATACTACTTACTTTATGTTTAAAATATAATTTGATTTCAATAAATAGTTTTTATTTTATATACATTTATATAACGTCCGGTTACTAAGTGGTACACACCTTATATCTAAAAAGCATTACTGTATGTATCCTTTTCAATGTATTCATGGTAATATTGAGATATACAGTATACTAGTGTAAATTGACATAAAAACACTTTTGGCAATGTTTTATAACAAAAGAATTTTAAAGAATGTTTATTGAAATTGAAATTTTCAATACTTGTTTTTGAAATGATAACATCATAATATTATAAAGTATACATCATTACAACATGTATATTAATATAATATTGTAGTAATGAAACTGGCTTTTAATATTTTTTTTGTCATTTTGTCATTTTAATATCAGTGATGGGCAATGTGCAAGTATTTTACAAAGTAGGTATAATATATAATAATTTCATAGATATAAAGCATTGATAAAAAAGTGTTTACCCCTTGGGATAATCAAGCATGCTCATCACTGATTTAATTATACAAAATAAACTTTATATTTTGTTACATCTTATGAGAAAATCTAATTAAAAACTATTTTTATCACAAAATATGTTTTAGATAGTAATGTCAAAATGTCAACATAATTATTATGTAATGTAATTTGATTTTAAAAACAATTATTTACGATTAGATGTTTGTTAATAAAAGTACATTTTTCAGTATCCTTTAAACTAATTAGTGTATTAATACATTATAACTTTTCTAACTACATATTACTAAAACATATTTAAAATTGAAATATATAATTTATAATAATAAATAAATATTATAAGAATTATTAAATAATAATGATTATATTTCTTTAATTATATATTAGTATTACTCTCAATATTATTTGTAATATATTTCTCCCATTTAGTAATAAATGACAAAATTGTTGTTACAGTTTTGGATTTTATATATAATTTAAATGAAATGTATATTATAAACAAAAGCATTAGTAACACATTTATAGGAATAATAATTAAATTATGTAAATTATTATCTATAAATAATAAAAACAACATAATTATATCAGAAATAAGTACAAATAGTACCTGAATACAAATCAAATATTTCATTTTACATATTAATGAATTAAAATCATTTCGCGTGAATTGACTCATAAATAGTCGGATTTGGAAGAGATATTCATTAGGTATGGGATCGACAATGGATTTCATTTTCAAAGCCTGAATGTCCAGTATTTTTAGGTATTTGGTGTATAACTCGTAGTATATTAAGAATAAGACAATAAACCAACTAGACACAAAATAGAAAATAGAAATTAAATGGAACATTCCATAGTATGATTTGACCTCGATGTAATATTTAGTAATATTTATTAAATTATATTCAGTATTATTATTATTTAAATCTTCATAATATATGAAATACATTAATTTTAAAATCATGCAAACATATTTTAAAATAAATATTAATATTAATGTTAGTAATGATTTATTAAAACATTTATATTTAATATTATTTTTGTTAAAATATTCACACATTTCATGATTGATGTCAATTAATAATTGTGAATTATATTTGACATACAGATACGACAATATAAGTATTAAATGATAAAATAGCATTAATGCTTTGCCAAAATTTAATAAATACAAAATATTATAACTGAACAATCTGTTTATGAAATAATTATAATTATTATATTTCGCAAAAAATGCTGTTATTATAACAAACCAGGCTAAAAATATTGCCGTGAATATGTGTTTCATATTTTTATGTTTCGGATGAATTCCGTACAATATAAATAGATATTCAAACATGCTATTTGAAATTATCTTGATAAATAATACATTAATACTAATATTATTATAATAATAAAGTTTATTAAATAATGTATAATATATTTAATATATTTCACTATTTAAACAAAGTATCTAAATGTTTCCTGATGATATTTAACTTTAACCATAATTTTTGTTATATGTTGATTTATTGGCACAATATAACATTTATTATCATAACTTATATTTTCACAAACTTATATTTATTAAGTGATAAAAATTTATTAATATATCTCAATTTGTCTAATAAACAGTTTCAATACAGCTTAACAATTGTAAAACGTGAAATGACAATAGAAATTACGTAGTTTACTTCAGGTTATAAAGTTTTCATTTTATTATTTTGCCCAGACTAGATTCAGGCAATAATCTTTGAATGATATAAAATAATTAGTTTACACAGTATTTCATCCAGTAACTCATTATAAATCTATTTTTAAAACATTTCATAACAACAAATGATGAGTGCACTCAAAAATAAATTGCATTTATTTAATGAACAAACTAATTGAAAAATATAACTCAACATTGAAATTGAATTTCGTATAAAATGGCTTATACCATACCATACAATGTAATGTAAAGCATTTTAAATGAAAGTAGATGAAACAGATAAAACTAATAAAACTTTTCTATAAAAACATTAAATCCATATCTTTCTAATATTATTCATAGAGATTTACAAAACTATTGCAAAATATCGCAGATGCAAAAAATAATTAGATTTTTCATTTATATTTAATATTATAGTAGGGACTGAATGAATGATTACTTTGAATTGAAATTAATTTTATTATTTAATTTTGCATTCAATAAGTAAATTCATTGAAGAATATAACTCAACATTGAAAGTGAATTTTGAATATAATGTTTAAATAAGTAATGTAGTTATACAGTATTCAATTAAAGCAAACAAAACAGATAAATCTAATAAAACTTGATTATACTTTCTATATTAACAGACTAACTAACAAGTTAACATTTAAAGCAATCAATTATAGAAAAACTAATTTTCCGGTATATTTATCTTTTGAATTAAAGATTTAAATAATTAATAAACAAATAATATAAATACAATAAATTCTATATGTACAATAAAATCTAATTTTTAAAAAGATTTTTTATTTACAGTGTACAAACAGAATGTAATTCATTTTTATGTAAGGCTTATATTATATTATAAACAGTCATTATATTTATATTGTAACAACAGTTAATAATTCTAATTTAGTTATACAGTATTTTTGAATTATTAATTTAAAGTCCATGTTTATTCATTAATAAACTCTAGAACATCCTGTAGAAATAAAAATGATTTAATAATTAAAGTCATAAATTTATCATTTTTAGTAGTACCGAGTCAAAAAGTTATTGATTCTATATTATTAGATTTTAAATTTTAATACAGTAGTTTATTTAATTTATAGAATTAAAATATCATTTGCAAAATTATGAAAATATATAAATATGCCCAATAACTGTTTTTCATATAACAATTCAAATGACTTTTTAGTTTCTAAATATTTTATTTTATTTTTGTATCACTCGATGATTTTGTTTAAATTTCTGAGTATTTGTTTCAGGTATAAATACGGCGTTTATTTTATGCAATACTACATCTTATCAGTCAATATATTATTGTATTTAAACTCATTATAGCGAACACTACAGTATGTCTACCCGACCGACATTAGCTTATTGGGCGGCGAGGGGAACGGCACAACCCATACGTTATCTCCTAAAGTATGCCGGAGTAGACTTTAATGATAAACGATATGACGGGGATAATAAAGATTCCTGGTTCTCAGTTAAGCCTAACTTAGGTCTGGAGTTTCCAAACCTTCCCTATTATACCGATGGAGACATAAAACTGACCCAAAGTCTGGCGATATTGAGATATTTGGGTCGAAAGCACCGATTGGTGGCCACCGATGACCAGACACTCGCCCGACAAGACATGGCTGAGCAACAGATCGAAGACATGAGAATTGGTTTTATGCTGAATATTGTTTATACGGATAACTCTGAGGCAAAAATGGTTGACTACATGACCGGTACTCTGAAATCACATTTGGATCTATTGGTGAAGTTCTTGGGGGACAAGCAGTGGCTAACGGGACAGTTGTCTTACGTGGACTTCATGGCCTATACAATACTCGAGATTATTAAAAAGTTTTCAGCCGAGACAATTGGTAAATATTCAACGATTAGCCGGTATGTGGATCGTTTTGAAGCACTGGCACCTATTAAAGCCTACCTGAGCTCAACTGAATTCAAATCGCTGCCACGTTTTGGGCATAAAGTGAAATGGGAATAAAATTATTTGCCATTTGTTTCAAATATGATTGAATAACCAAGAATTAAATATAATCTAAATGAATTGTATGATTATATAAATAAGTATTAAAATTTTAAATAATTTATTATTTCAAAAAATTTATTAAATAAATGGAATTGTTATTTATTATTTATTTCTAAATATAGACATTAGTATTTTATTATTCTCAATATTATTAGTATAATGAATATAAATAACAGAATAAATATAACTATATCTTAATTTTGACATTATTATTTTACCAATAATAGGATTAAGGCAAAACATATGTGCAAACATTACTCAACCGTTTCACTATTAGCGTTTACTGTAACTAAAACCTAATAAAACTTTTTATTATGAATATGCACAATAATATCAGGGAAATTCTTAATATAATAATTAATTGTTTAGAAATAATATAAAAAAAGGTTTCGTATAATAAGATATTTTCTTGTGTATGAATTGCAAAAAGTAGAAATGTTGGCTTTGATTTATCTTTCTACATATTTTGTATTATTTAAAATACAATATACTACGATAATTATATTCCAACACATTTCATATTATAACAACAGGCTAAATCTATCTAGAATATATTTTTTAAATTAATGTTCATTCAAACATAAAATCGATAACATGGATTCAAGATGATATTGAATTGGACTTACTTTATTTGAAACTTTAAAAAGAAAATAATTTAATTTAATTCAAATAACTCAATAGTGAAAATAAATTTTGCAGGAATATTTATGCAATTATATTAAGTAATATAAGATAAAAATAAGAATATTTTAATAAATTTATATTACCATATAATATAACTAAGTAATATTATAGTTTATTAAAATTTATTTATAATTGATTTAAAAAATACAACATACAATATATTTTCCAATACAATTTAAACATTTTCATTCATTGAGTATTATACAACTTAATAATTACTAAAATAATACAATATATTCAGTGAAATTATTTAAGTAAGCCAATAAATGATACTCAATAATTAATTAAAGTAATATTAATATCTTAATTTAAAAATTAGTTATTTCAATATTATTTGTTATACAATTTTCCCATTGAGTAATAATTGACAAAATATTTGTTATAATTTTAGATTTAGTATATAATATTATTATTATGTAAATTACAAATACAGTTTCTAATATAAAGTTTATAATAAATATTATTAATTTATGTAGATTGTTGTCTAGATATAATAAATATATAATTATTAAATCTGCCATGATCATTATAAATACATGAATGTACAAAAAGCACTTTATTTTACATTTTAGTGAATTAAATTTATTTCGCATGAATTGTCTCATAAATAGTCGGATTTCAAAAAGGTATTCATTAGGTATGGGTCCGACAATGGATTGCATTCTCAGCGCCTGTATGTCCAGTATTTGTAGGTATTTGGTGTATAGCTCGTAGTATACAATGAATGAGACAATAGGCCAACCATTTATAAAGTAGAGCATTGCTATGAAGTAGAATATTCCATAATACGAATTGTTCTTGATAAAATATATAGTAATATTATAAAGGTCAAATTGTACATTATTATTATCTAAATCTTCATAGTATGTAAAATACATAAATAGTATAATTATGTAAATAAATCTTGAAATAAATAATAATATTATCGGTATAATAAATGTTTTATTACAATATTTATATTTAATATTATTACGAATAAAATATTCACACAATTCATCATTGATCTCATACAATATTTTTGAATTACATTTAATATACAAATACGAATTTAAAATTACAAACTGATATGATAGTGGTAATATTTTACAAAGGTTTATTATGTAATAATTATTGAAAATATGATCTTTGTTACGGAAATAATAATTATTATCATATTTCATAACATATGTGATCATTATAGCAAATGAAGTCAAGAATAATGCGGTGAATATTTGTTTAATATTATTATATTTTGGATGAATTCCGTACGAAATGAGAAAATACTTGAACATTTTATTTTATATTATATTAATACAATCATATTTAAAATTTAAATATACAAGTCAAAAATATTCTATGGTTTTTACAAAATAAAATAACTATATACACTTGCTAGATTTTGCGCTTATAAATTATTTTTAAACAAATCGTAATTCAGTAGAATTTGCTTTTACTATAACAAACTAAATTTGTAAGAAAACTAAATTGAGAGTTTTCTTGTTGGAAAAAAATTACTAAACCTTTTGATGTAATTTTGTTGATTAAAAATATATAACGGATATGCGCTTTTGAAACATATTAGATGTGTCATGGTCATGCACAATACACTGTTTGTAATACAATTTCAATGAAATGTTTCACTTTTTTGGGTAAAAATACAAAACATGATAACTGTTATTGCTTCTGTACTGGTTTATATTAAATCAATATATCAGTTATCAGGTTTGTATAATCTTACTCTAAAATAAAAACGTGTCTGGTATAGATTTATCTCATTTATTATTGTGTTTATAATTATTTAAATGTATTTTGCATTTTAAACTGTACTACAAAAATCAAAATAATTTACTTTTAACATTTTAAGTAATTAAATATTTTTAAGCAAGCTTCCCACGATTAATGCCAAAAATAAACATTAATTAATATTTTATATATTGAAAAAGTTATTTGTATTACTGAATTTCTGTATCAAGCAACAAGCAATTATTTTAAATATGATTTTAACAAAAGATTTATTTTTAAATCTATTACATTTGATACAAATCATTGTTTGTTATGTCTATAATTTTGAAATAAATTTATTTATATTACCAATTTTGAGCATTAAAATGACTCCAGGTAGAATGTCATGAAGACAAAATAATATTAATATTGATAAGTAATAATTTTTAAAAATGTTTTTTATGATTTAAAAAAATTATTATTTTCCACAAAAATTTATTATTAAATGGGTTGAGTCTAACAACCAGTATAAGCAGTGTACATTTTATACTGATACCTGTATAATCATTATCAATTAAAATGATCGCTAAACAACTAATAGTTAAAATTAAACAATATTGAAGTGAACGGGAGGTTGGGCTACCGGCCCTTAAGGTCGGTGCCTTAAAATGAATGAATAATATACGGGGGCTTTAAATATAACTTTTATTTTGTCACAAATACTATTAATATAACTGTGAGCTTGTTACAATAATAATAGACACTGAATAGATGACAATACAATTGGGATGCTAGCTTATATAGTTTTACAAAA